GGAGTTGTTGCTCTGCTAGGGTTCTTACTTGCATCACTTGATCTTATCAAGAATTATTCGATTCTTGTGGCGATCCTTCTTGGCTTATCAAATATTCTTATTTGTGGCGCCTACGGTATCCTTTATTTTTTCTGTTTTCTATTTCCAATCAAATCAACTCTTAAAACCTAACCGTAAATTGTTTTCCTTCTATTCGAGTGTCGTCAGTGAGTTTCATGGTCTTTATCATCTCCGTCCCTCTACACATGTTGGTGCAATTATGGAGTCTCCCTCTCTTCTTCATGCTCAGTTAGGTCATCCAAGTTTTACCAAGTTACAGAAGTTTGTCCCTGCCTTGTCCAACTTGTCTAGTTTGACGTGTGAGTCATGTCAATTAGGCAAGCATAGTCGTACTTCCTTTCTTCGTAGTGTTACACGTGGTGCTTCGTCCCCTTTTGTCGTGGTTCACTCTGACATTTGGGGACCTAGTCGTGTTAAGTCTACTTTAGGTTTTCAATACTTTGTTACTTTCATTGATAATTATTCCAAATGCACTTGGTTATTTTTGATAAAAAATCGTTCTGAATTATTTCATATCTTTCAAACTTTTTTTAGTGAAATTCAAACTCAGTTCAGTGTTTCTATTAGAGTTTTGTGCAGTGATAATGACCGTGAATATCTTTCTCATTCTTTTAAACAATTTATGACTTCTCACGGTATTTTGCATCAAACTTCTTGTGCTTGTACCCCTCAACAAAATGGTGTAGCTGAACGTAAAAATAGACATCTTTTTGAAACAACTCGCACTCTTTTAATTCATGGAGAGGTTCCTCAACATTTTTGGGGTGATGCTCTTCTTACTGCATGTTATCTCGTTAATCGCATGTCTTCCTCGATTTTAGATAATAAAATACCTCACTCCATTTTATTCCCTCATGAACCACTTCATCCCTTACCTTTAAGAGTTTTCGGGTCTACATGTTTTGTTCATAATTTCAGTTCTAGTCTTGATAAGCTTTCTCCTAGATCACATAAATGTATTTTCTTAGGGTTTACAAGATCACAAAAAGGATACAAATATTTTTCTCCTTCTCTTAACCGTTATTTTGTGTCTACATATGTCACCTTTGATGAGTTCTCTCTTTATTTTAAAAGTCAATCTTCACCTCTGTCTTCATCCAATCCTGTCAACACCCCTAGTACATTTAATGTTCCTGTAGTTTGTGACCCTCTAATGGTGTCTTCTTCATCATTAGTTTTTGCTCCACAGTCAGATTCTTCTCCACCGCCTCTTTAGGTTTAAAGTTGCAGAAACCAATCATAACCACCACCATGTGACTCCACTCAAGTGCCAACTACTTTGTCTCCTCTAGATCTGACACCTGAGTCTGACCTTCCCATTGTCCTCCAAAAAGGTATCTGTTCTACACGTAATCCCTCTCCCCATTATATTGCTTTGAGTTATCATCGACTGTCATTACCTTTTTATACATGTCTTTCCTTGATTTTTTCTGTGACTATTCCAAAAACTGTCTGTGAAGCTTTAGTCCATCCTGGTTGGTGTCAGGCCATGTTAGATGAACTAAGTGTTCTTCATAATAGTGGAACTTGGGAATTGGTCCTGTTACCGTCTAGGAAATCTGTTGTTGGTTGCAGGTGGGTGTTTGCTATCAAAATTGGACCTGATGGTACTATTGATCGCCTCAAAGCTCATCTCGTGGCCAAAGGTTATACTCAAATTTTTGGGTTAGATTATGGAGATACTTTTTCCCCCGTGGCATAGATGACTTTTGTTCGTTTATTTATCGTCATGGCCGCTCTTCAACAATGGTCTCTTTATCCACTGAATGTTAAAAATTCTTTCCTTAATGGTGATTTGCAAGAAGAAATCTATATGGAGCAACCTCCTGGGTTTGTTGCTCAGGGGGGAGTCTTCTAGGATGGTATGTCGTCTTCACAAATCCCTATATGACCTAAAACAGTATCCTAGGGCCTGGTTTGGAAAGTTTAGCAAGGTTGTTCAACAATTTGGTATGACTCGGTGTGAAGCAGATCATTGTGTCTTTTATCGAGTGTTGGATGTGTTTACTTGATAGTATATGTTGATGACATCGTTCTTACAAGTAGTGACAACCATGACATCTCTCAGTTGAAACAACATCTCTGTCACCATTTTCAGACCAAAGATCTTGGCAAACTTAGATATTTCTTGGGTATTGAGGTGACACAGTCTAATGATGGTATTATTATATCTCAAAGGAAGTATGTGATGGATATTTTGGAGGAAAATGGGTTGATGAGTTCAAAGTCTATTGATACACCCATGGATCCCAATACTAAACTTTTACCAAATCAGGGGGAGCTTATGTTTGATCCTGAGTAGTATAGAAGATTGGTTGGAAAATTAAATTATCCTACAATTACTCGACCTGACATTTCCTTTGCAGTCAGTGTGATAAGTCAATTTCTTAATTCCCCATGTGAAGATCATTGGAATGCAGTCATTCGTATCTTGAAGTATATTAAAGGATCTCTTGGAAAATTATTGTTATATGGTTCTAATAACCATACAAGAGTTGTTTGTTACTCAGGTGCTGATTGGGCAGGATCTCCTTCGGATAGAAGATTTACATCTAGATATTGTGTCTCCTTTGGTGGTAATTTGATCTCATGGAAATGAAAGAAACAAAGTGTTGTGGCAATATCCAGTGTAGAAACAGAATATAGAGCTATGACCTCAACTACCTGTGAACTTGTTTGGCTCAAGCGATTGCTTAGAGAGTTACAATTTGGAGATGTCACTCAAATGACACTTGTGTGTGACAATCAGGCTGTTCTTCATATTAGTTCTAATCCTGTCTTTCATGAGAGGATCAAACACATTGAGATTGACTGTCATTTCATTCGAGAAAATATTATGTCTGGAGACATCAAGACTGAGTTTGTTAACTCAAGTGATCAGTTAGCAAATATTTTTACTAAGTCTTTACGAGGACCTAGAATTGATTATATTTGTAACAAGTTTGACACATATGATTTGTATGCTCCAGCTTGAGGGGGAGTGTTAGATATTGTTTAGATATTGTTAAGATATTGTTGTTAACCACAATATCAAACAATATCTTCTGTTTATTCTATTTACTTTCGGTTACTCTTTTAGTTGTACATTTCTCTATTATAAATAGATTACTCTATGTGTTATTTATACACAAGGAAGATTAATCTCAAACCTTATTTCTTCTATATTCAACAATTACATACAAGAAAGAAAATGATAAGAATTACAAGTAAAAGATGAGGAATAAAACAGAATAGAAAGGAAAATAATCAAATTCAAATAAATACAAGAAAGAGAATGATAAGAATTACAAGTAAAAGATGAAGAATAAAACATAATAGAAAGAAAAATAATCAAATTCAAATAAATAAATATTAAAGTAAGAAGAAAGGTTAAAAATATTATTTTATTATCTTTTATTTAAATTAAGTATTAAGATATTTTATTATTTTTAATATAAAAGATAAAAAAATATTAATTTATTATTTTAATTTAAATAATAATTATTAAAATATTATTAATATTAGATATTTTATAATATTTTTATATTAAAATACATAAATAAATAAAAAATGTACCATAAAATATCTTTTATATATAAAAATACACCTCCGCACATCCTTAAAATCTAAATCATTTGAAACCATGTACGCACGAGAGCATAGTTGAAAATAAAATTATTATAAATGACCATGGTATCATTTACAATGTTATATTCTTCTCATTATAGATTTCCATGTCGGTTTTAAGAGTTATTGTCAAATCAGAGTCATGAACATTTCATCGACGAGAGTAAGTTGAAGTTCTAATTCTATTAAACGCAATTATAATATATGACCCAAATACAATTTTAAGATGTAAAAAGTTATGAATATTTAATAATTTATCGAATGTTGACAAACAAGGAATACTATCCTCTTCCTCTTATTTTATTGTTAGAATGAAATGTCAATTTTTATTATTAAATTTCATATTTATTGTTTAATTTTTAATTATTTTCACTAAAAAATAATTTTGCAATATTATTTATCAATATTTAATAAACTTAGACCTTAATTTGCAGACATTTGGTAGAGGGGTAGGACGGTAGGTCTTAAACGGGTCACATCACATACATATCACAAGATTAAATTTTAAACCAACCAAATATAAAATTCAAACGCATTACATCAAAGAAAAGAAAGACAAAACAACCAAATCAATCCACCGTGTTGAAAGTTGATACTCCATTGCCAGCCATATCAAGGGGACCATCCTAGCTAACAACCATAAAACAACAATAATATCATTGTGAAACCAGTGACTTTTGCTTTCAAAATTATCAATATTTTTATAAAGAAATGAAAGAGTGCTTAGAAGAACAAAAACAATTCAGAGTTCTCCAAAATACCAAACCATGTTACTATTATAAACACATGATTGAGATAATCAAATTATTAATTCAATAACAACAACGCAATCTGAAATTTAACTACTTATTCTAATCCTTTATTGTCACATGATAGACACAATCAAATTATCAATCGAAGAAGAGTAATTCCTTATTCTGAAGTTCAACGACCATCATGAAACAACCAATGTGGGACTTGTTACACATCATAGGAACATGCATACCAAAACAAGAAACCTATAATGTATTGATGTCATCATGATTCATGATACTGATTTCCATAGTTTGGGTGCTAGGTCACTGAATCTAGGCACTGCAGTTAACAAGCCAACGACTCCTATAGTTTGTGTGCTAGGTCGCTGATTTCCACAGTTTTTGTATGTATACCATTAGAGCAATAACAGTGCGAAATGGATATTAAATGATGTGGTGAATGGTCTGAGAAAAACAATCAAAATTTACAACATCAACAAAAACCCAACATCTGAATTTCCAACCCCACCTATGCACACTTGGAAGTATAGACCAAAATATGTAAAGAATCCTAATTGCCTCAGAAAGCTGTTATAACTGCTACCAAGGTTTAAGGTCCCCCACCGGACCAGCAGTCCAATTCAAGACCTTCTCCCCTGGTTTCAAGAATACCCTCCGGTCATGCGGCAGTTTCCGGGCAAGGCCATTCAAAACTTGATGGAAAGCATCTCCCGGTTGTGCTGGTTGAGGGAAGAGCATAGCTTGCTTCATGGAAGGGTTGGCAAGCAATCTCTGTTTCCTCAAGATAACTTCTGGTGGAATAGATGTGAGTATAGTGTCTAATTGAGGTACATCTTTTTCATCAACAAATACACCTATCTCTTCCCATGGGATTGCATCAGCAAATGGAAGAACAATATCATCTGCAATGATCACTGGGATACAGCCAAATATCACAGCTTCAACCAGCCTTGGGCTCCAAGGGGCCCACCCAAGTGGGCACAAGCAGAATACGGCTCGTTGCATGTCCTCGTAGTATGTTGTTGGATGCTCTGTGGAGATGTCAAACAGTGGATTGTCCTTAAAGTTCTCCCACACTGCTGCTCTTGCACCTCTGTAACATAACAAAATTCAGTCAGTTTGAGCCTTCACCATCATTTTGGTATTTGTTTTGGTACGAAAGCATGAAGACATGGAACCAGACTTCATGCATGCTTAAATTACTTGGTTTTCGGTCAGAATATTAGAACGAACCAATTAGGTCCTGAATTTAGTTCATCTAATTATGCTTGACTAGTTTCAATAACTAAATACCAAATAATTTTTAAGTCAAAGGATGCAAGTTAGCAGTCTTTTTGCAGACATACCTTGCATAGTAGCCACCTTCAGGGTCATTTCCAACATCATAAAACAGTCCTCGGAAGTAAACAAAAATGGACCTTGGTGTCTTTTCAGGAATTAGGTGTGCATGCATTTTCTGTGGTGGGGCATATGGAGGAATGGTGATTGAGCCCTCTTTCAGACACACATGATTCCTCTGTCCAAATGTTTGAACCAAGGTAGCACGCTGCAGCAATGGAAGAATTCCTCTTTCTATGGCTTTCTCTTCCTGGAACAGCATAACAAGGTAAAAGTGCATGTTACAATATCCATGTACAGCTTTAATAGTGGAACTCAAGGTGCTTCTCACCAACCATCACATAATTTGTTCGAATGCTCAATTGAACTAATAGTTACGTAAACAACAAATTTGAAATGGTACACTAAATTTCTTACTTGATAATGGAAGCATGCCCCAAAGTCATGAGGGGTTACAAAGAAATGATCTGCCCCTTCTGTCCTGTTCCAGTAAGGCCAGTTTGAAGAAATAAGCTGTATGGCACTTCGCATCATTCTTGGTGACTTGAAAGGTAAAGGGAGGCCATTTGGTGTCAAGTCACAGGTGGTGTATACAGGGGTATAAAACCAATCAGCTTCTTCTGGATTAAGGGTTCGGACAGGGCTAGATAAGAGAAACCGGTGCATAAAGATCTCGGCAGCAAACATATGAGTGAGGCATCTAGGGTCCTTTTGCAGAATTTTCTTATTATATTTGCTTGGAAGTTCATACACAAAAACTTTCAACCTTCCCACCGGATCATCTTCTAACACGTCACCAGCACTACCTACATTGGTTCAACCATAACATGCTTAGTACCCTCATTTTTTTATCTATCCATAGTTTAGCAGTTTTCAAATAAATAAAACCACACAAAGCAGTCTGAGAGTTGACTCCAATTTATCTCAGTGTTCTGAATCAGAATTTCTTAATCCAGCCATTGAGAAATAATAGAGAATGAAACTTAATACTAACCCCTTGAATTCCATGCAACCACATGAGTACATATCACTTTGTTTATGTGTTGTATCATCAGAGTTTTACATAAAAAAATTCCTTTTTCACCGTACTCCAATTCCAACTAATTCCTCATTGAATTTTAATCCAACTTAAGCTACTTCCTCACCATCTGTAAACCATTATGTTGAGTTGTTTTTAACACCATCAGAACATCTAAGTATCTACACAGTTCGGAGCAGCATCTATATTTAGTGATAGCAATAAAATACACTAATTTTTCTCTTAGCTGTTCTGCAAGAAAAGGGGTATAGTATTATTAAGGTTCGAATTAATGATTTGTCATATAGAGCTAATTAACCCATTAAAGAATGACGTATTCTGCAGAATTTTGAATTTAATCTACATTAAAAAAAAATTAGACACAAATTTTTTTACTGTAATTCTAGCAGAGAAGATAAGGATACAGTGGATGTGCTTATGTTTTGATTCCAGTGTCAAAATTAAAACCATAAAAAGTATAGGAGAAACCCTTTATGTATTTCAGGAAGTTCCTACACTTCAAAATGACAGTAACCATCTGCCATATTCTACCTTTAATAATGAAGAATGCTTGAAAAATGGCATCACCTCAACATTAAAAATGACAATGATTGGCTCCTCTCTGATCACATCAACCAATAGATAAGACACCAAAGGCTACCGGCATAACAACCCATGTATCTTCTGGGGTGAGTTTGGGTACCAGGGGATCAGGGACCTACGAATATGTTTTCTAAATTGCTATAAATATATTTTCAAAGCTCATCGGAACTATATCTTTTGCATGCAATAATATCTTAAAAGCATCCTCCAAATGCACATATATGCTTCTTCGAACCTCTTAAGTTGAATGCTAGTACTGGAACATAGGAAGTTTATTACAAATGAAGAGGACGACAATAAAAATCACTATCAAATAAAGCGGGTATTTCCTTCTCCTCCTCCTCCTACTATATAACGAAGTACTGCATTACTAATAAAGGTCAGATTCAAAATCAGGCCAAGGCATAATTTCAAATAAGTCAGCAAAGGTCACCAAGATCTCCTGCCAATCCATATAATCTTACCAAAGTGAAAATTGACTAAAACACAACCCTAAATTGATAAATAGCCCCTTCCACTGTATTTCTTCTTCAAATTCTGGGACCGATTTCAACACATAACTTATTGTACCTGGCCCTAGATCCTCATACACCAGCTAATTACAGCATAAAGAACTCACCAAAGTAGATCTTAGCTAAATGCACTATCACAATCCACAAAAACACACCAATGAAAACCATAACAAGAAATGGTTAAACCAATAAGATAGCTAACCGGAATGAAAATCACTACAACTGAAATCTAAGACCCCTAAAAACCAACAGAAGAAAACCAAACCAACCAAATACAATCAAATCAACAGAACACTGGATAATCTCAGAAAGAATCTGATGAAACAAGTTGAAAGGAAAACAAAAATAAAAAATAAAACTTTGAAGAACCCCCACCTGAAATTCTCTCAGTAGGTTGATGTCGACCCAGCTCTACGGCCCCAATTGCAAGAACAGAAGCAGCCCAAAGAAGGCAAAGAAGCCCCACTTTCCAAAAATCCATGTTTTTTATTTTCTTTTTCTTTTTTTGTCACCCCAGAAACTCCTTGATCCGATTAACCTCAGAGGTGGCTGCAACTGCAAAGAAAGAGAGCTGAGATTATAAGGCAAAAAAGAAGTCAATTGTGGTCAGCAAAAGAAGGTGGCGAAGGCGATGGTTAAAACGTCACAAGGGAAAGTGGTTGCGAGGAATTTCTCAGCAATGGAAGAAAGGGATATGTGTTCTTCTCAGCAACAATGAGAGAGACAGAGGGAGATACGAAAATATTATTTGAGGGACCAAAAGAGAGTGGATTTGCTTTGAAGAAATAAGGACAAAGGGTTTTCCTAAGTTGAAAGAAACAATATGGAAAATGGGTTATTGTTGAAGATTGAAGAAGAAGAAGAAGAAGAGACTTTTGATAAAATTTTCTGATTAAGTCTGGTTTTCTTTATTCAGGGTTTGATGAGAGGTCCATCTCAGAATGCCATATATGCACCAAAGTTCAACAACACACGCTGTGAAGTTCAACCATTACTTCTACATTGTTGCTTTTCCTTTTTACCTGTGTGAGTGTATGTCACTGTGTGTTTTGAAATCGAACCATGTCATCATCGACCAAGTAGAATAGAACACGTCCTTGTTACAATTTGTTCTGAAATTTATTACCGCCATCAAATTATTAAATGATTTTTTTCAAGAGAAATCAGTAAAAATGAATGAATTCAAAGTAATAATAAAAGTTGGGTAAAAAGTTTCCACTTTTAATCCTTCAAATCCACCAAACATCACATATTTTTATATCATAGAGAAAAAAATAGAATAATAAAATTTAAGTTGAAGTTTTCATGGGAATAAAAATACTTTATATCAACTTTAGTCCCAAAAAAACCATGAGCAGGCTAAAAGAATGAAAGAAATTATGAAATGGAGACTCAGAGAAAATGCATACATTTCCGAGACTAGATTGAATATTTCAGTATAGATTTTCGTTAAAAAAACGTAGTTGAGTAGAATTATTAAAAACTAAACTAAAGATACCTTTGCAACATCTTTGGTAATATTTGATATGTGTTTGAACTATAATTTTTTATAGCATTTAATTAGAGATCATTAATTTCATATTATTATTATTATTATTTAATTATTTTAATGATCACAAATTAATATTAATGTAAAGTAATTTAATAAATCTAATTATAAATTTAATTATAATTATACATTATTGTATATTTAATTACAAATTATTATTATTAATATTTAATAAGCGGATGGATCATTAAGAATCATTTTAAAAAAATATTACTATTGTTATTTCTAAAATAAAGGTTACTTTTGTTTTCTTTTCATCTTGGCATTTTTTTTTATTATTATTATACTATAAAAATATCTTCTAACAAAATTTCAAATTATATTTACATTTTTCATTTTTTTTTCGAGGAATATAATTGCAATGTTTTTTAACAATTTAAAAAATATATGTATAATAATGTAAAAAAAAATACCAATGTAATATTTTTAAAATAAATTAGATATTTACATATAATTTAGTGAAAACCCTTTACAAAGTTTTAGTGTAATTTATTCAATTTTCTTTTTAAACTTCAAATAAAACTTATTAAAATTAATTAAGATATTATTATTTTCACCATGCTAAAGCAGGATCTTATAGAATAAAAGATAGTTATTTTTATATATCAAAAATACTAATTATATAATTTTATATAATCGATTGTCATCAAATTAATGACAATTAACATATATTATGTTAATCACTATCTAACTTATATGATTAATTTGTTATGTTTTATAATAATCTTTAAAATATTATATTAATATTAAAATATGATTGGACGAGATGACACACTAATTTTAAAGAGCGTAATTTATACAACTGTGAAATGTCTGCATAAATATTACTAAGATTTGACTAATTTCTGAGTTAAAAAAAATTGATTAATTTATTATATTTATTTTGTTTTTTAATATAAGGTGATGATATATTTGTACAAAATTATTGTAAATTAATAGTATATAAAGTAAATTCTACTTCTTTGAAAGATTTACTCATAAAAATGAAAAGGGTAATATCTTATAATAATGAATAAATATGGTTCGTAACTTGCAAACTTTCTATGTTTTCACTTTTAACAGCACCCTTCATTTCTTCAACAGTTGAATATATTGTTTCATCATTGTGGTATGATCTTCGGCTTGAATCTTATGATAAAATAATAGTTTGCTTTTTCTGCAAAATCAATTATTTGTTGCAATTTTTTCTGCAAATTTATCCGCAAAAAATACCTAGAATTTTTTTATATATAATTATTCATAAAAATATCTGTGTATTTTCTTAGAAAAAAAGTATCTACAAGAAATAGCTATATTTTTTTCTAAAAAAATTTATAATTCTTTTTTCAAATTTTATTACAAATATATTAATTAAATATATTTCTAAAAAATTAGAAGAAAATGAAAGAATTAATGGTTGAGTTCAAGAGGGGGGTGAATTGAACTTTAGAAAACTTTTTCGCAAAACTTACTTTCTCTTGGAAGAATGAATTATCTTTATATTAATTCTTGTGTAGGTAGGTTTGATTTTAATCACAGCAAGTATATAGACAAGAAATAAAAGAGATGAAAGAAGAAATTCAACACAACAATTTATATTGGTTCACTCTTGACCAGAGCTACATCCAGTTCTTGACAAATCTGTCAAGTTCCACTAATTCCAGTGAAAAATACAATCAGTAGATATTCACCAATCTACCCCAAGAACTATCTTACAAACCCACAAGATAGAATCTTAAAAACCTCCCAGTAACCAAATCCAGTTACTGTAACACGTGCAAATCCAAAATCCAACCTGCACAACCACACTTTACACAAGAGTATGAAAAGAAAAAACCTGGACTGAAGCTTTATCAGTATAATTGTCCAGAAGCAATTCTAACTCAGCACTTTCTCTCTTTGATTAACAACAATCTTGATCAAAGCACCTTATGATATGAAAAGATTCTAAATGCTCAAAGAAAGTCACGGATATGATTGCTCAAAGATTATTTTCAAATGTTTTCTCAAATTGTATATTTCAAAAGATAGATCAAATCTGTATTTATAGAGTAAAAGAGAGAACCAGAACGTTTAAACTAATAAAAACTGATTCAGAGACGCAAATGATCGATCAGAACAGCATTATGACCGATTAGAACAAGTTATGATCGATCAGAATCAAATTATGATCGATCAGAATGTATTTCAATCGATTAAAACGACGTTTCAATCGATTGATTTTATTTAAAACTTCATTCAATCGATTGATTCGTGTTTTCAATGGATTGAAATAGCTTAATGAAGAATGACAGCTCTCTGTTTCAATCGATTAAAAAACCTTTCAACAGATTGAAATCCTGTAGACTCTTAGTCAGAAAAATAGTCTCTTTGTTTTAACAGATTGAAAAGTATTTCAACAGATTGAAGTTTTGAAAAACACTTAGACTGAAAAAATAGTCTCTCTTGTTTCAACAGATTAAAAAATATTTTAACAGTTTGAAAATGCGAAACCTTTGATATTTGAAAAATTCATTAAGAATATTTTAACCTGTTGATTCTGCGATTCAACCAATTGAAATTTCGAATCTATAAGAACATTTCTTATGTTAAGTGATTTTAACAGATTGAAATTTCTTTTCAACAGATTGAAAAACTTAGTTTGTTCTTTTAATGCTTAAATGTTAGTTTTTCATGCAGAAAAATGATTTCACTGAGATGCATCATTTTAAGGCGCTTATCACAAGATCTATTGGCCTATCAAGAGATTAAGTTCTAAACTTCTAACCTATTCATCTACACACCCACAAACTAAACTATATCAACTCGAATATGTCTTCATCAAATCCACCAAGTGCTTAAATCTCCCCCTATTTGATGGAGACAAATATCCACTGCACCTGCACAATTCAATAACAGAATAGAGACATATATGATTTTGTGGTGTGTGTAGTGACAGTTTTAAGCAAACACTTCTCCCCCTATTTGACTGCATCAAATAAAGTGTTTTAGTTACAGTCCAGTAGTACCACGTAGGTACCCAAAAATAATAAGACTTCATTCATCCCCGTTCCCGGGACCTTGATTAAACTGCAGATCAACAATCCTGTTGTAGATATCTTCCAATTGGTTGTCAATGTGTTGGAATCTGGCAATGAAATTTTCATCCAGATAATGCTGACGAGCCCCCAGAGCAACCGTCATCTCCATGTGCCTCCTTTGATTGGTTTGCAGTTCATTCATCTGATGTAGCATGGTTTTTTCGAACTGTGAGAGAGGCGTGCCACGGTCAGGTTGTGGAATATATGGAATCATTTCTAATGGACACTGATCTTCCATCGGGTCTGATGATCTTGCTGCAGAAGTACCCGGGACACCAATATTAACATCTTCCTCTTGCTCTTCTTCTTCAATTTCTTCTTCTCTTCCTGCTTCTTCTTTGGAAATCCATTCACCGTCAATTTTAATGAACCCCATTTTATGAAGGACAGAATTATTGACCTCATTTGTGGGATGAACAGTTTCAACTAATTCACCTTCCAAATCAACACCAAAATGAGTTAAAAAATTTAGAAATCAATATTGCATAAGGATACCTGAAATCACTTAGCCTTTTCGCTTTGATCATATGGTCCTTGATGACAAAGACCCAGTTCACTCTTATTCTGTGGTGAATGCAGTACATCATTACCAAATCTCCTTCATTTAGTACTGCATGATTGCTCCCCATGGGTGTGAGGTGCCAGGACATAATGAACGCGAGTACCCTTTCCTCAAGCTTCAACTTTCCAGTGTTGAAGGAACTTACGGAGTCATGCCTATTCTTCAGACAAGAACGAAAGTACTAACTTTGTTAAATTCTTCTACTTCCGAGGTATACCCTTTGGTGACTTTTACACCTTCATCCTTGAGTCCAGCAACCTCTTTCCAGACATTGGGAGTAATTTCAATGTCCACTCCTTTGACTTGAGTTT